TTCTTATTAACATAATCATTATTTGTATGCTTATTACCGATTACTAATCATCATTGTCAGTATATCTCAGAATATAAAAAAGACAACAATAAACCTCATTAGCCACCTTCGGGACGTAGCAGTATATAGCTCGGTGTCCATCGTCGACCAGCAGGTGACCCAAAAGACGAGGGGAATCGAGCAGGTGTTCAAGCAGGTATTCTCTGTCTCGTCCTCTGCATGCTTCTCTCACTGCTTGCTTCCTCTCCTCCTGCTTAGATTCCCACTGCCTTTTCACGTTCTTGCTTTGTTCCGTTTCTTCTCCGTTTTCCTGCTTCGTCTCTGCTTCTGTTGTGGTTTGGTGGTTGGCTTCTGCTGGTGCTGGGGGGGAGGGAGGGAGGGGGGGGGAGAAGAGAGGGGGGTTAGTTGTGTTGGTCGTTTGGTTTTTCGTTATTTTTCTCTGTTTATTTGTCTCTGCCTGTCTGTCTTTGTGTTTCTATCTATCTATCTATATATATATATATATATCTCTCTGTTTCTCTATCTGTCCATCTCTCTCTCTCTCTATCTTCTCTCTCTTCTCATCTTCTCTCTCTCGTCGTCTCCTCTCTCTTTCTCTCTCTCTCTCTCTCCTCTCTTCTCTCTCTTCTCTTCTTTCCTTTTCCTCTTCCTCCCTCACTCACTTACTCACTCACCACTCCATCATATCTATCAGTATATCTATCTATCATCTCTGTTTTCTCTATCTGTCCATCTCTCTTCTCTATCTATCTATCTATCTTCTATCTCTATCTCTCTCTCTTCGTCTCTCTCTCTCATCTCTCCTCCTTTCTCTCTTCTTCTCTTCTCCTCTCTATCTCCATTCTCCTTCCTGACTACTCCTCTCATCTCTCTCTCTCTCCTCTCTCCCTTCTCTCTCCGTCCTTCTCTCTCTCTCATCTCCTCTCTCTCTCGTCTCTCTCTTCCTCTCTCTTCTCTCTCATCTCGCTCTCATTTGTCTCTCTCTATCTCTCTCTCTGATGAAATGTTCGCTCGTCTCTCGTTGCTTTCTCAAATCGAAGATTTCCTTCTCTCAACTCAAAGTGAATTGTGACGCCCGTTTTTGCTTTTAATTGAATTCCTTCAACCTAAAAAAAAATAAAAAAATAAAATGCTTATCGAACAATTGATAAATTCATTAAAAGTAGACAGAACGATAAAAGTGAACAAGTATATATCTACAATAACAAAATATGGACCATAAACACATAATAGAGGAATTAGATGAATAAAAAAGAAAGAAAAATACACGCAAATAACACACAAAAAGCGTTAAAAACAAACATAGCAACAAATAAAGCAAAAAGAAAAAAAATATCGTATAAAAGATTAAAGAGAAAATGCATGAGAATAAAACAAAAAGACGACAAAACAATAAAGCAAATGAAAATAAAAATGGATAATGATATCAACAATAATGAAATAACAGTAATAAGAATATAAATACGATGATAATAATGACATTAATAAAAGATATATATCATAAAAGGTTCAATCAAATTCGTTACGATTACCTCAGTGTCTAAAATGACATTACGTAACACATGACAGTGCATAACAGAACATGAAACTCATGTCATCGCGATATATAACACATGTCAAATATTAGATTTTTCTCGATATTTCTCGATATACATCTTGACAGTTTGTTGAGACGTTATTGCTTCTCTTGTCATGTCATCACTATAAGGGCTTTCATGCATCACTACAATGATTTCTTATTCTTAGTGATGACTATAATGATAGAGCAAGCGTTATGAACTAAAATATTATATACATACATACATACATAAATACAACACACACACACACACACACACACACACACACACACACACACACACACACACACACACACACACACACACAACACACACCACACCACACACACATATATATATATATATATAATATATATATATATATATATATATATATATATATATATATATATATATATCATATATTTATATTCAATCAATACACTTAATCTACCGTCTGAAGCCAAGTGCTCTACTCACCCAATCAGCAGGGTCGCCACACACGTGAAGGACAGAAAAAGGACCAAATTCCTGTTTAGGGCCATCTTCTCTATCCTTCTATCTATCTATCTCGCTGTTTACTATTTTTACGAAAGTGTGGGGATGGACTGGCTATGTTGGGAAGGGATTCATGAGGTACATTTATGTGTTTCTTATGACTGATTCCGACTCTTATGTAGATATGGAGTGAGTGAGTTTAGTGAGTGAGGGAGGAAGGGAGGAAGGGAGGAGAAAGGGAAAGGGAGAGAGAGAGTGAGAGAGAGAGAGAGAGAGAGAGAGAGAGAGAGAGAGAGAAGAGAGAGAGAGAGAGAGAGAGAGAGAGAGAGAGAGAGAGAGAGAGAGAGAGAGAGAGAGAGAGAGAGTCTCTTTTGGTTAACTGAGCTGATGAACTTCAATACAAGTAAGTAATGAATAATGACAAGGAAATATATGTGCTAGGGGTCATAGGTCAAACTAGCAAACTTCAATACAAGCTAAACAGAATATGGTGTTTCGGTGTTCCAGCTTGTGAGATAGGGTGATGAGAGGTCACTATTTCATGGTGCAGGAAGTGGTACCGTGGCGATGGACAGACTTGAAATGATGGTGATCTGTGGTGATCGGAGTCCTTATAGTGATGATATGGTGATGTGGTTAAGTTAGGTTAGGTGTAGTTATAGTGAAGGTGCCTTTGCGATGTAAAAGATAATGATAAGGATGAGGTCACAAGATTCTAACTGCTGTGATGAGAAAACTTGTAGTGACTTCACTATAATAATTGAATATAATAATGATAGTGAATTGATGAAGGTATCGAATATAGCGGTAATATAGACAAGTATTATGATGCCAAAATTATCTCTTCTGATGAAACGGACTTATAAAGAAGACGAAAGGATAAAAATGATTGGCAGGACGATAAAAGATCCTAAGGTGCACGAGCGACCCTTGGGAGTGGCTTCGTGGACTCAGGGCTCCTTAAGTCGGCGCTCCTTAAGTCGAGTTTGTGAATCCGAGTTGCTTGCCTCAGAACCTGGAATGTGAAGGTGAGTTAGATGTCTTTATGCAAATTACATTATCAGATAAGAAAGGAAATTTGACTGTGGGTGTGATAAGGATTTGCAGAATGATAGTAATGATTATGATAATAGCAATGACAATATTGATAATGATAATGACTGATAATATTAATCATAATAATGAGAATAATAACAATAATGACAATAATAATGATAATAGTAATGATAATAATAATGAGGATAATAATAATAATAATAATGATGATGATGATAATAATAATAATAATAATAATAATAATAATAATAATAATAATAATAATAATAATAATAATAATAATAATAATAATAATAATAATAATAATAACAACAACAACAATAATAATAATAGCAATTGCAGTATTAACAAAAATAAGGATTAATAAAAAATATAATAGTAACAGCAACAACAATAATAATGATTATAACCGTAATAGTAATAACGACAATCATAATAAACATGGAAAATATACAATAAAGCAAAAAAATAATATTAGTGGTGATAGCAGATAGAATAATAATGATGATGATGATGATGATGATAATGATAACAATGATAATAATAATAATAATAAAATGATAATAATGATACTACTACTACTATTGCTAATTATGATAATAATAATAATAATGATTATGATATCAATAATAACAGTCATTATTATTATCATAATCATTATCATAATGACAATAATAATATCATCAGTAGTTGTAGCAGTAATGATGATAATAATAGTAATAATAATGATAATAATGATTATAACAAAAAATACAGCAATAAAAATAACACCAACAACTCGTAAAAAAGGATAACAATAATAATAGCAATAATCTTAACAATAATAACAACAACAACAGCAGTAATCGTGGTAGTGGTAGCAGTAATAAAAATTAATAATGATAATAATGATAATAATATCAATAGTAATAATAATAATAAAACTAATGATAGCAGTGATAGTAATAGTAATAATAAACATAAAAAGATTTAACAATAGTCATGATAACAACAATTACGATAATGATAATAATGACAGTAATGCTTCTGATAATAATGATAATAATTATAATAGTAATGATACTAATAACAATAATGGTGATGATAATAATATTGATAATAATGATGATAATGATAATAATGACATTAATAATAATGATAACAACAACAACACTCAAAACAACAACAACAATAATAATGATAGATATATAATAATAAATAGTAATATAATAATAATAATAATAATAATAATAATAATAATAAATAAATAATAATGATAATAATAATAATAATAATAATAATAATAATAATAATAATAATAATAATAATAATAATAATAATAATAATAATAATAATAATAATGATAATAATAATAATAATAATAAATAATATAATAATAATAATAATAATAATAATAATAATAATAATAATAATGATAATAATAACAATAATAATAATAGTAATAATAATAACAATAACAATAATAACAATGACAATAATAGTAATAACAATAATAATAACAATAATAATGGTAATGATAATAATAAAATCAATAATAACAGCGATGAGGATAGAAATGAAAATGATAGTATCACTATTATAAAAACAATAATGATAATGATAATAACAATAATAATAAAAACAACTGCACTAATAATGATAATAACAACAACAATAATAATACCAATAGTGATCACAAGAATAGCAATAATAGATAAATAATCGTAAATAAAACAGTAACAGTAATAAAATGATATAAAGAAAACGGTGCTTACACGAGGCGAGCGACGTGACTTGCTTCCTCGGCCGCCGCTGGGACACTGGCGCTAGCATCGCCCGGCGGATGTGTCGCCTTATCAAAACACTGATATTTAGTGTACATGTTTGTCTTCGTTTTTGTCTGTGTCT